CCCCAAAACCCCAAAACCCCAAAACCCCAAAACCCCAGTCTGAGAGTTTAAATTGAAATTAAGACTAAACACCAATTATCTTTTAATAAGAAGGTTTATAATAATTTGCTATTTTTGATGATTTTTAAACAAGTATTTCTCAGCCTGGTTCATCTTAGAAGAGGATTTCATCTATATATCAAAGCATTAGATGGATGAATATGGAAAACCCAGGGCTCAATTTAATGGGATACGTGCTTAGCTCTTTATAAGCAAAATGGTTGATAATTTTAGTAAAATTCAGAAAATAGTGTTCATAAAATTATTTACCATTTCTGCTTCCCTAAACCTTATTCAAAGGATTTTTGTCTGTTCATAAATTTAGATATTACTGATTAGCTTAAGCTTCCTAGGTCGGTGGGATAGTAAATTAGAGCAACTCTCAGACTCATCAGTCATTGTAAAGTTGCAGTCATTAAGATCAGAAGCATCCATTGTAACATGGATTAGATTCAAATCCTTGCTGTTAAGAATACTTCAAGGGTTGTTCTGTGGTTTCTTTGAGATAACCTTCCTCTTAGGCTGATTCCTAAGAGTTGAGCTAGCTTTTATAGTATTGCTGAATTGTTTCAGTTTAGCAGAAACAGACCTATTCCTGGAGAATTTAGCCTTCGTGGTTCTATAAGTATATTCCATAGCACTGTATCCTCCCTTTGTTGAATCCATTTTAAGTCTGGTTATCTTATTCTGATTTGAAGAAATCTCACGCGAGCTTGAATTTCTCAAGAGTTTCCTCGTTCTTGCATTCCTTGAAATTTTATTAACAACAGCATTTGAAGGGGTTGTGATAGCGCTTCCTATAATTTTACCTCTTGAGCGGATATTTCAGTCAGCAGAGGTCCTCTTATTTTGCAAAATGAGTAGCGCTTGAGACACTACTCCTACCAGAAAGTCTTCCATTCTTTGTAATTTTCTTATCATTATTCAAATTAACTTGAATTTTAGAACCCTTCATGTATGCAATATAACTAGCTTTCCTCTGTCAGAATTTGCCTATCGCTGGCTGGGAAGAGTTCTTCTTCAAGTTCTTCGTCTTGTGCTTAGATACCACAATCCGTGATAATGAATGAAGCTTATCCACTTTTTCCAGATTTCTGAGGTTATTAGAACCAGTAATTATCCTCTTCTTGGCTTTTGATTTTGTTTCAAGAAAATTTAAGTTTTCTTTCTCTTTCTTCTGATGCTTGAGTTTCTTCTTAGGAAAATGTTTTTCATATTTTGAGAAGAGCTTCTCAAAGCACTCTTTTCAGTCAATTAGCTTGATTTTAGTGAAATTTTCGATGTCTTTGCTCCATAGAGGTTTTAGGCCAAGAACTTTCCTTGCAGAAGTGACTGCGGAGACTGCCTGCACTGAGAATTGATACTTTTGAAGTTCCAGTGACTGAAACGCGATGTCCATAAAAAACTCTGAGAATTTGTTCAACTGTTTCATCTTTTCAAATGATAAGGGAGGAGATACCTTCTGTGACTTCACAGTTGTGTTTGAGCTCTCTGAATTTCAGAGATGTAGAATGACACTTAGGAAGTAACTTGGACATATTGAGATTAGATCCCATTTAAGGAGATTCAAGAATTCCGTCTCTCATTTTATGACTTCTGAGTAAGTATACTTAGCTTTGGAGGAAACCTTGCCAAATTCTTTGATGTAAGGAATATTTTGATCAAGTTCATCATATTTTGACGCTAGCAATAAAGCTGTTACGGCCCATAAATGTTTATCCTTATTTGACAAGATCTAGTTTTCCCATCATGAAGAGTCTATCCAGATAACTATATTATGACTCATGAAATTTACTTAACGGCTATCTGCATTGTTAGAGCACGTTGTTTTAGTCGGTCTCCCACTTGCAGGATAAACTCGATCAGATATTTTCTCATTTTAGAGACATCAGGGTCGTTACGTATTTCGTCACTGATTGGAGGATACTGCTTCTCATCTTTCACTAAGAATTCCCAATGCTCTTGGAGCTGGTAGGCATCTCTTTCGGACATCGATTTGGCAGTCATCATTCGCTAAAATTTATAATTCTATCTAACGTCTACCTTCTGGGGTTTTGGGGTTTTGGGGTTTTGGGGTTTTGGGG